GTTTGAGCTAGCGATCCAACACAAAAAAAGTATACTGAGATCTGACGTAAGTAACATTTTGTTTTCTCGTGAGACCATACAACAAAGAATTTCGGGTTTTAAGTAAAGCAATGCCAGGTTCGTAACCCACCATGGGTAGCATAAAAATGTCGCTTGGCATAAAGGTATCCACAAAAGCAGTCAATCAGTGACGTCAAAATCATGTTGAGGTTGCGGGAAAAAGCGTTTGGGGTTACGTTTGCCGAGCAAAAAACACATCATGCATAAAAGGCGTGAACCCGTTATCTTAAGTTACCCATCATTTGAGGAAATCATGTTAACAATGTGGAGATCAAGTAACCCCGCTGCATCCTTCTTGGCGGCGCCAATACGCAGAAAAATCAAAGAAAATGGTTTGTCCGTGATGGTCACTTTTACCTACGTTCTTGTAACACTCCAGCCAAAAACATTGGGGTGGCCGCAGCCAACATACCAATATCGGGGGGCTGGGTAGGCTGCGGCTGTCGAAGCGGCCCTTGGGTCGAATAACGATCTGCACATCAGCATACTCCCCACTAAGTTCTACGTATCCGGTCCCTGGTTATATAACTGACCCTTAACAGTTTGCTTTTTATGGGTACGAAGGCAGTCCGTTATCCCGGCCGCCTATCTCTGTAGCAGTTCTCGCCTAAGGGCTTTCCGTTTCAACGCCGATTGCATTGCAATGGTTGGCTGCATAACCTTGCAAAGCATTTCATCATATTTGGCGTTTAATTCTACGCGACTGGCCCGCTAGCCATTGCACCTGCCGGTAGTAGTTCATTCATTATCAGTACGAAGAGGACCTGTTGTTCCGGCCGTCCCATAATTATGTAAGGTGCCAGAGAACACTTATGTGCTGCTGGTGAATTGCTGCTTAGTTTGGCGAGCGCCGCTTCGAGGCGCTCACGTCCCCCCCCCCCCCCCCCCCCTCCTGCCCCAGGCGCCCCGTACGAGGGAGGCGACCGCGGGACTAGGAGAGGGAGAGTAACAAAAGAGAAGACTCAGAGAGCCGCCGGCGCGGGGACGGACACGCCGGCGGGACGAACTGTGTGGAGTGCTTGGGACGCGTGTCAAATATAGAAGTGACTTTGGACGTACTGAGCGTACCAGTGAGCCGGAAACGAGACGCCAGAACAGCAGAACTTACATTGGTGGCAGCGGTGTAGCCCATCTATTACATCAATGCGAACTCGCGCCAATCGTCGATCTGGCCGTCTCGCTCACCCCTGTTACGTTATTCCACCACGAAGCTCAGCGCTCACCGCGAGGCTTGTAATGACTACTGCCACCGAAGTATCATCGACCTGGTCCAGTCCGTCCGAGCTCGATGGTGCTGTTCGTCATCATTCATCGTGGCGCGGCCAGCAATGGCATCTCACCTGCGGATGAACAGACGGCGCCTGCCGGTGCTCGCCTCACCGAAGCCATCGCCACCTGTCAACTCCACTGCGCGCGGAACAGTCCTGTATTGGGACCACCCCCACCAGAAACGGACCCTTCTCCATCCTCTCAGTAAACCGACACCACAACCTCCGCCCAGGATCTGCCCCCCACGTTCCCGACGCCGACTCGTCCCTACTGCCGAGCGAGGGACAATCAGTGAACCAGTCACCGCAGACCCAGCAAGGGGACAGAAAACTCTACGCAGGGCCCGACGGCAGCATCCAAGATCTGCGCACCCTCTACTGCGCACGGAACGGTCCGAAACAGTCGTGAGCGTGACGTCTCGCAATCGTCGTTTATGAATTAATCGTGCAACTTTTGTGTTCTTACGTTTAGTCTTTAAAAAATGTACGTTTGTTTTGATCGTGTTTCGGCTCGATTTTAGCTAGGTAGTACGTACTTGTCTGACGTCGGACACAATCAACCCTGTATTGCTTTGTTTGGATCCAACATGGCATCCTTAAGCATCAAAATCCTAGTTTCCCGATTCAGTGGTGTGGGACAAACGGTGTCTGCGTTCATCGGTGACCTCAAGTCTTTCGTGGCGTCGCAATCCGCGGCATGGACAGACGCACAGATCTTATAATTTCTTCCTCTGGGTTTGGACGGCGCCGCCAAGCTGGCACTCACCTCACTATCAAGGGAACAGCGAAAAACTCAGAAATCCGTCGAAATGGCTCTCGGCAGCTTCTTTGTACCTCTCACCCCAGTAGCTCAGCACATCCCGCTGCCACAAATGAGACTTGACCCGCCCGCCACCAACTTCGAATAATTCCTGGTCAGCCTATCGCACAACTTAAAAAAGGCCGCCCGGGACAGCAGTGTCCCAGCGAAGACCTGCTGTTCAGCCATCTGCTCCAGGCTCTCCCAGCTCGATTATGCTACGCACTCGTTGCAACGGGAATCGCCGATTATGACACGCGGGATACGTGACCTGCGCGCCGGGGCAGGGCACGGGGTCGGTATCGCTGCTGTTGCCGGCTCGTCGGGCGGTTCAGCCGCGGCCTGGGCTGGTGTGGGATTCGCATTTTCGGCCCCTGTCGGTTGATTCCCAGCCTCGGCTTGGGCTGGAGCGAGATTCGCGGCCTCAGTCTCCTGAGGCGGACACCTATCGACGTCAGTAGTCCCCTGCGCCACTAACAGACACAAAGATGGTGCTGCTGGCTCAGCCGGTACAGCTGTCTGCTGTCCGTCTGTGGACATCGGTACGGCCGGTGGTGGTGTGACTGTTTGAGTTGGTACCTGACGCTGCGACTGTGTCGTCTGGCTGTGCGGCTCCGCGGCCGGCGCACAGCCAGACGACACAGTCGGTATTTATCAGTGTATATTATTATCGGTATATACTATCAGTGGCTGGTATTGCCGACGGCGACTGTTGCTCCGCAGTGTTGTCGTTCCGCGGCTGCAACCGATTGTGATGAGCCACCAGTTTCCTGCGCCTGCCGCCGCACAGCTGAATGCGGTAGTTTAGCTCACCTGTTTGGGCAAGCACACCGCTGGTTTCCAGGGCCGAACGAGCTTGCGATACTCGCCCCGGGCGGGCACCTTCCAGAACAGGTACACCGCATCACCGGTACACCGCATCACAGGTACACCGCATCACAGGTACACCGCATCACCGGTACACCGCATCACCGGTACACCGCATCACCGGTACACCGCATCACCGGTACACCGCATCACCGGTACACCGCATCACAGGTACACCGCATCACAGGTACACCGCATCACTGGTACACCGCATCACAGGTACACCGGCATCACAGGTACACCGTATCACCGGTACACCGCATCACCGGTACACCGCATCACCGGTACACCGCATCACCGATACACCGCATCACCGGTACACCGCATCACCGGTACACCGCATCAAACGGTACACCGCATCCAGTACACCGCATCCACCAGGTACACCGCATCACCGGTACACCGCATACACCGCATCACCGGTACACCGCATCACAGGTGCACCGCATCACAGGGCACCGCATCACGGTACACCGCATCACAGGTACACCGCATCACCGGTACACCGCATCACCGGTACACCGCATCACAGGTACACCGCATCACAGGTACACCGCATCACCGGTACACCGCATCACAGGTACACCGCATCACCGGTACACCGCATCACCGGTACACCGCATCACCGGTACACCGCATCACAGGTACACCGCATCACAGGTACACCGCATCACCGGTACACCGCATCACCGGTACACCGCATCACCGGTACACCGCATCACAGGTACACCGCATCACCCGCCTGGTGGAAGGTAGTGGAATGCGTTCAACTTGCGACCGTGCAGACCTCGGTTTGCGGTGATGGTCGCCGCTGTGCGTTGTCAAGCGAAGTTATCATTAAGAGGTACGTATCTTGGTATTAAGATAATTAGTAGTAAGTATCTTAGTAGGTAAGAGGTACATATATTAATCATTGAGAGGTGTGGGCTGCACCCTGTGCTGTCATGCACTGCACCCCGACAGCCGAGGAGGAGCAGTGAAATGTTGTTTTTTTTCCATTCGTGATGGTTACCATCGAGGTATCGAGAGAGCATGTCGAGTATGACCCGATTTAACTTCTCGCTCAACCCGTTTCTGGCTGGCCAGCCTGGTGACGTCTGTGTTTTGTTGATCCTCAGCAGACGGCACATTTTTTTAACACCTTACCGCAGAAAAATTGCTCCCTGATCGAAATGAAAAGATTGTGGCACGCCCCCAGCGCGAGATTGACCAGAACAGCAGCCATCTCGTCAGCTTCTTGGGTTTTCAAGGGATACACCTCTACCCACTTGGCAAAATGATCTATCACCGTTACATCATCTACGCACGTTAAGTTAGGTTCGTGAGATGTGTTCATGATGTCATGGATTGCTCATTATGCCGTGACCGAATAATTCAACAAGGAGGGTTTCCTTCTTTTAAGAAGGGTGTAGTGCAAGGTGTCAGAGAACACCTATGTGCTGCTAGTGAATGTTTGCTTAGTTTGGAAAGCGCCGCTTCGAGGCGCTTACGTTCTCATCGTCCTGCCCCAGGCGCCCCGTGCGAGGGAGGCGACCGCGGGGACCAGGAGAGGGGGAGTAACAAGAGAAAAGACTCAGAGAGCCGCCGGCGCGAGCGCGGACACGCTGGCGGGACGGACTGTGTGGAATTCGTGGGACACGTGTCAAATATAGAGGTGACTTTGGACGTAGTGAGCGTACCAGTGAGCCGGAAGCGAGACGCCAGAGCAGAAGAACTTACAATTTAATATCAAGCACACGTTTACACTTATGTATGCATTGGACCGTGTGGTTAGCGGCAGGCTTGCAAAGCCTACGATCATGTTCGCCATTAGATTTTACGTAATCATATTATCTGCAGGAGGATTTCCGATGTCCCGGGTGTCCCGCAGCGTTGCTCCCCACGGCTAGCAGCCGCGCCGCATTGAAGTCCTGACACCAGTGACGTCACCGTCCTGTACAAAGCCTGTGAAAACCCACTTACAACAAAAGCTCATGCATGACATGCCCGCTTAAATCCGAGTAGGCCGCTGTGCATCGAGTCCGCGTTCTAGGGCCTTGCATCGCGTCCCCTTCGTCCATGCGAATGGGAGAGCGGGTATACGAATTTGTGAGAAGAGACACAACAGAAAACTTAAAGCCCCATACATCCAACCCTTTTGGCATAGTCTTTCCAAGGTGAAAACCAGTTTGGGTAGTCAGGTAATGCCTGTGCTATGCCTGTATATGTGTTTTGCCGGGTTTGCAGGCACAGTGCTCTTGTGTGGCTGCATTCTGTAATTTTTCCAGGCCTTCCAGACTTTGTACCAGCCTGACATAACCTGAAATCATTATGACACATTGTTGATAGTTTCATTACCCATTTCAAATCCAATATCTTAACTGAACAGCCCCTACCTCAGGGTCAGGTGTGTGGCCAGACTCATGGGCTGCATGTGCCATTTGGCATGCTTGCTGAACTGATGGGCCCAGGATAGCTTTCATACTTCCAGCAGCCAATTTGGTCTTGAAAATAAATAGTGGTTGAAGCATTCACTTGGAACTTTTATGCACATATGTACACAAGTTGATGCACTGGGGATGAGCCTTTCCATCACAGAGAGCTTGATGCTGGATAATATCTTTTTCAGTGCTCTTTGGAGCTGTGTGAGATTTGTTGGTAGCTTCTCCTTGTCTGTCGCCAATGGAAGGGAACTCCACAATACTCCTACTGGGTTCTGGGATGGGCTGTTCCTTCACTGTCTCTTTTAGCCAGTGGTGATGGAGGTTTTTTGTCACCATTTCTTGACCTTGGGCTGAGTGACAAGCTTAGGTGGCATCTTGCATGAAGATGCAAATTGAGCAAATCTGTCTAACAACTCCAGCTCCATTAAACATCACTCCAAAAGAGGGCTTATCCCAGAGAGTCTGTCCATGTCTAGTAGGCAGACTGTCCCCAAGGTGGTCCCAAGCTGTAGTTTTCAGCATTTACATGTGTCCTTTCTGTGAGTGCATGCATCTAAAACTCTGATGGGACATTATACCCTGCATTGATTTGATGTCAGCTCTACTGGAGGGACCATGGGTTTTTATGGTTCTGTGATTTTGAGCCCAGATCCATGATTGTGGTAATTTGGTGGATGGAATGATTGTGAATCAAGGCATGGATCAAGCAGTGGTTTTTCACTAACAAGAACTTGCTTCATGTCATCAACAGGCCAATTCTTGCACTCTTGTGTCATCTGAAACAATTGTTTGTTGGTCATTTTTGGTGTGATGCATGTATTGGAGACACTAGGCCTGTCTCAGCATGTTCCTCCAGAAGTATTGCTCAGGTTTGTCCAAAATCAAATGAGCTTTATAGGTGGGCTGTCAGATGATTTTAGCTGCATGATGACCACCATTGCTGTTGGCTTCTTCAGCATGGTTTTGATTGATGCAGAAATACTTGTATTAAAGGCTTAATCTCATCATTTTAATGGCATCTATGTGTGGGATCAAAGCTCACACTGAACAGGGCTTGTTATGTGAACCCTGGCCCTATCAGCTGACCAGGAGTTCCATATCAACCCTATCATGTTGTGGCAAAAGTTAGACATGCCACAGTACCACTACTTGATACTAGTGCCCCATCATGGCCTTGCCTTTGAGTGGCTGCTGCTGCCTTCAGCTGTAGGCCATCCCAGCCAAGGGTGAATCTCAGCTCTTAAATATCTTGAACCCACACACACCCACAGGTGTGGTCAAAGGTAGGTGCTCAAGCTGCTACATGGGCAAAGTTAGTTGAACAATGTAAGAATGTTGCAATTTGAACCTGTGAGAACACTTCCATTGGTCTCGAAGTTCCTCCACTAATGTCTGACACTGATGAGGGATGCCCACACTACTTGAAAACTTTGACGCTGGGACTTCTGAGCTTGTGTCATGCTGATGGCCTGGTGCTGGCAATACAGGTGGTGGTTTTCCACATTGTTTTAGGCAGATGTTTTGACGTGAACTCTCCACTGAACACTGACCCTGCCTGTTCAATTGTTGGTCTGCAGTCACTTGCACCCCCACCTCTCATCAGCAAGGGTTCCAGGAAGCGATTCTGTACTTATCACCGTGATTGGTGGGGTGGAAGTCACAACACAATTGTGTGGGGTGCACAGTAGATTAGTGGTATTAGAATTTTTACAGGAACCCTGAATCTTGCAACCCAGAGGAACCCTGCAATGTTAATGCTGTGATTCTCTTTGATCATGCAAAGTGATCCATCTAAAACCCATGGGTGTGGGTGGAAAGAGGTGCTGGCTGCCTTGACATTTTGCTTTGAAGTTCTAGACATGGCAGATAGTGTCACCAATTACCATCACTGTATTGGCCTGTTGGTTGTCATGATCATCTTGCATGGACCTTTATGTAATAGTTGTGTCAATTAAAATTTCCTACCACTGCCATGCTACTTTCCAATGCTGCAAGTTGTCTTGTTGGCCCAGATCTGTGTTAACTGGAGTTCTAATGTTTTCTTGCATTCAGGCAGAAGTTCAGAGTTTAAACACCAGTATTCCCTGATTTCAGGTATTGCTCACAATTTTATTTCAAAAATGGTTATGAAAAGGCAGTATCAGCATTCCGTGATTTCACTCACTGTTCGTGATTTTATTAAAATATGTTGTGTTCAGACTTAAATCTAATAAGACAATCATCCTGTTGTGAATTCTGGATCATGGGGATTAACTGCGTCAGTTTATTTGCATGTTTTGAATGGAATGGACTATGTCTTGTAGAATATTAGACACACATAGACTCACTAAAAGCCCACCTATGCCTATCAGAGTTCAGTTAGCAGTCTGTGATGCGTCATTAAGTCCAGAGTGCCATTGTCTGTGACTGATGGCTGATAGTGACCTATCGTCCCAGGTGGCAGCGGCATGGCTACAGACTGGGTCACGGAGAGCTCGGACTCGCTGTTGCACTTCGCCGACCTGATACTCTCCTCCGTCCCTGTGCGGCACCACCGGGCGGCGCTGCTCGACAAGGTGCAAGACCAGATGCGCCAATATGCGCGCCTCGAGGCTGAGGCCGAACAGGCCGCGCTCGCACTGTCCGAGGTCAAGGACGAGGCCGTGTCGTCCATCAGCGAGGGCAGCGAGGTGAACATCGAGGAGCTGGCTGAGCGCGTTAAGTGCCTTACCGATAGATATATGCAAGATAAATTGGCGGCGATGGGAGACCTGAACGCCCACGACAAGTGCCTGCGGCTCGCGCGCATGGTGGATGCCGCTACGCCGGCCGCCGCCGGCGCCGATGAGGAGCTAGTGGTGACCGGAATGCAGACTGCCACGAGGGACCCCTGGTCGAAGCAGGAGATCCGCCGCCCGTACCGCAACCGCCGGTGCGACCACGTGTACGATCATGAATCACTGGAGCGCCTGCTGGGCGAAAAGGCATGTTCCATCAAGTGCCCATACATGGGCTGCACGAACAAGAGGCCGCTTACGTGGGACGACATGATGGAGGATCCGGTGGCCAAACGTGCATGTTAATTAAGATCACGGCGCCAGTGTGCAGTCGTTCAGCATTTTCATGAGTGACGTTACGTGATCATCCTGCACCGCTTTGTAAGATAGCTGTGGGCGCAGCTTCGATTTCGTAAGCAAATGGGATTACATTGAGTGTTCCGCAATCCTCTCCAATCCCAGACAGATACAGTAATTGTTAAATGGTCGGAATTTCCGGGACGAAAAACGTTTGGATATCGACAAAAGGGGATGGGCCATTACGTATAAGAAACCTATCTGTCTGCGGGGATGACTTGGGGACGAAAGTCCTTGCTATGCATAGCTTGCTGCAAAGACGGAATCATTCCATCCCGTAGCGCTATTTCAGTTCAACAGGCGTTTTCTGCTGGCGGATTTTATGAGCATGCTTAGTTGTGTCGAGCCGTGGCCGTTCCCACTTCAGCCTGCCTATTTCTGCCAATCGCCAGTCGACGACCCCTAGCTTGTTTTTCGTTGTTTTTGTTTGTTTGTTTGTGTTTTGCTCGAATCAGGGTTAAGAATTCGCTGCAACTGGGGGGGGGGGGGGGGGGCGATCCCTCCGGACATGCGTGCCAGGACGATCAATAGGGGCGACTCTGTAAATGAGCCGACCTCGTCGAAAGAGGATGTTTCGTTCGAGATTCACACGGACATTCGGATATTCACCAAGTGGGGAGACCCTATTGGGCTGGTGCACATTGGTGGCTCAGAGTTTGGCTGCCCCCTGCATCCATGCAAGCCCGGCGGAAGAGTCGCTGACCTTGAGATCCCCGGCCATTTTCTCATTTGTTGACGATGTTGCGTAATTTCATGCAAGTTATGAAAAACACGTTCTATAGGTTTTGAGGATTACATACTTGTGCATCATGTCTGGCCCGTGAGGATGTTGGTATTGTGCACTACTTTTGCGTCCACTTTTTCATGATTGTTATTGTATGATTTAATAATTAAAATGAGCCACCTAATCTAATACATCAATGAGGTGCGAGATGTGATTAATCGCGCCTAAGACTCGACCTCGTGTCGCTTTGCCTACTCCGATCAGTCTCCAGAACATTATTTGCTCGCCTCTTTTCCATAGCAAGGTAAAACCACTCAGCAGGGACTCAACATAGTAAATGGTAGATTGTAACTGAGTTAACCACAGACGAAAAATCGTGCAGGCGCTGTCTCGGCGCGAACTCTGTGACGTAACCAGTGTACACTGTCGCTCTCCGTCCGGAGCGCTCTGTTAATGCCCGAACGGTCGCATTGGTCACATCCATTGGTTACATGACATGCTGCCCACGTATGCCAGCACTGGTAGCATAGTGGAAAAAAATGGCGGGAGGTTCGTTGGAACTGAGACCACACCTCTACTGTTGGGGTGAAGCCATTAAGTTTGTTTGCGCATGTCCTTCAGGTGACGCGATTCGCTTCGCGGATGGTGCGCCTTGCTGCCGCGCTGGCTTTGCGGAAGGCCATCAGATTTGTCAAGTGCTGCTGCGGTCGAAAGGCGCGTGGGCGCGCCCTACAAGCGCGGTCCACGATGGGGCTGGGGTGCGACGCGGTGTCCCAGTAGTTTTTAGAATGCATCCATTAACGACATTCAAAAGCGAGGACGAAAAGACGTGGGCAGATGAAGGCTCTAAGTGAATGGGCTGAGGACATCAAGTCTAGCCGAATTTCGAGCTCACGCCAATCGGCTTTTTTAATTTCATTCCTGAGGCCGGGGCCCAACGACGGCTCCATTCCGATAACTCAACTAATCACTGCTGAAATCACTGCTGCCCATGGGGTCGTTGAGAACATGCCTTGTAAAACACGGCATAAGCTGTGGGCTCAAAAGACTTCGGTCAATGGCACACTTCCCGCCCAAGGGCGGCGGAACGTGTGTCCGAGTCTCGGCATTTTACAGGCACAGTGATTCTTGTTGGATAAAAAGATGTTCACATGGACGTACACTCATGTTTGTATAGTCGCAATCCCAAACAGCGTGGTGCGCGTTGAAATCACCTAAAACCATGGCGGGGGGGGGGGGGGAGATTCAACACCAAACGGCTGAGTTCTGCGTTATCGATTTCGTCTACCACGTTGTTAACGATTACGCCATCTTACCTTGCACAACATTGGTTCAGACACGTTATATCTTGAAATCGCGTTCACAAACGCTAGATATGAATGACTCGACAATTATATTTTTCCTGGCCCTGAAGGCGGCATGGTCAACGGAATGGCAGAATGTCAATGACGTTATCATGGCATCATGGATGCCCGGGTGACCTCGAAAAGTCCCAGAGATAGTTCGCACATATTCACTTCATCTAAGAAACTAGAAGGTTTAGACCTTAGAAGGGCGGGCCCGTGATCTGCATCGAATGATCTTTAGGGCGGCTATCTCCGTCTAAACTTTCAACCAAACGTGGAAAATTACATAAGGTGGCTGAAGGCTCCATAGTACGAGAATTCACCGGCCGATTTTGGATTCCTTAGCATCAGAATATTCACCAGTGCATGCTATCATAGACGGGCTCTTGGTACAAAAGTGCATGTGTCACGTAGCTTATCATCAGAATCTTCACCAGCGCATGCGATGTTCGTCAAAGAATTCTAAACCATCAACATCACTTTTTGAGGTTTAATTTAGGATTGAATAACAAGGAACAAATTATCTCCGAAAAGCTACCTGCCTGTTTCTGATTTTCACGCAACAACATATTGGCCACCGCATGATTAGTGTCCGCAAAAAGTCTTGCCATCTCAAGGTTACACTGCAAGTTCACGTGATGGGGAAATCCACATCGGTCAAAAGTTACCGGACATGTTAGGATTAGAGGGTTCATTGTATTCAACTGCAAACGGACTAGCGTCCATCAAATAGTCCTGACTTCTCTAGCTCACCCCTCAAGGTCATATTCGAGTTCAGTGCGGACCAGCCCGTCCTGGGGTCGACGCGCAGGTGACAGCCGGCCGCCCGTGGGGATGGAAAACACACGCCCGAGGGCCCCGGCGCCGGGCGTCACAGCGCAACCTGTAGCCCGGCACGATAAGAGGAGCGCGGGGGCCTAGCGCCTTCGTCGGCATCGGGTCTGCTGACCCACTCCACCATTTTCAGCGGTATGAAAGGCCTAGATTTGAAGCCTCGCTCTCTCTCTCTCGAGAGAGAGAGAGAGAGAGAGAGAGACCTGCTACGACCGTGCTGCCGTGCTGCTGAGAACACGACTGCGCTACAATCATGTGAAGACTTACACATTTCATCTCGGACTAGCCGGGATGAAATGTAAAAGCCGAAGTACATCCGGTACACGTAGTTTCCTTGTGTGAGTGTCATTGTTTAGGTGCTTGGGTTATTTTTAAACGTTTGTGAGTGCTATATTTTGTCCCTTGCTTGCCGCAGACTATCATCCTTTTCACCAGTCCTTTTGTATCTGAAAATACATGATGAGTCGTGTACCAACGATTTAACCAGAAAATCGGCTGGTTTTCGAACCACGCAGAATGGAGAAGGCTTAACTAGCAACGGAACGATACAGGAAACGATGCCAACATTAGGTGATGGAGAATTTCAGATCAACCAAAACTTACCGGCCGATCTCTGATTTCTAGGCATCAGGATATTTGCCAGCGCGTGAACTAGTGTCCGCTGAAAATTTGAACCCTCTGGGTCCCACTGCCAGATTAACCTCAAGCTGAAAGGACAGGAAAGTCCATTTCCCGAAACGTTAATGGCCGATGAAGGATCTTTTTTAATTTCAAGGCCGCTCGGGCATCCGTAGCGCCAAACAACGCTTTTCAAATATTGTCATCTCTCTAGCCACTCGGTGATCAAGACAGATAAGATTAGAATTGTCGAGTCGTTCGCATCTGGCGTTTACGAGCACGATTTCCAGATATACCGGCCGCGAACTGCCTCTCTTTATAGTGCAAGGTACGATGGTACAGGGTTCTCAGTTATCACAGTCGAAGCCGTGTGTAGATGTACTTACGGTTGCTTTCCTTCGCGCTGGAATGATGTGCTAGATGTACTTACGGTTGTTCTCCTCTGCGCTGGGATGATGTGTCGTTCTGAAAGATTGATTTCTGATCGACTCCATGGATTGTTGTTCTTTCCCGTCCTTTTTGTCCTCCGTTTGTTCGCACCGCACCCATACAGCCCTACAAAAACTTAGGTATATGTTCTCACGAAACCAACCATGGTGACCTGGATTAACATGTGCTCAGGCGGATGGGGTCCCCGCCCCCCCCCCCCCCCCACCATCCAGGGTTTTTCCAGAATGGTTTCCGAACGGCAAGACGTAGCCGCGCCACACTTTGCATAGATGTAGAGAATTTAATAGCAGATCTTTTTATGTACAAAACGAGATGTACGTCACAAGGTCGCTGACCCACGGGGGGGGGGGGTCAAAGCCAGGCCATGGGAGTCAGCAAAGGGCATTTCTGGGGAATCGTTCAATGTGATGCAACAACGGAGTGTTAGTTGAAGCCGTATAAATCTGAAATAGTTTATTATGCAATAAACCAATTGAATTCAAAATTACAAGCCACTTCCGTTAACCTATGGTCAGGCTTGACGGTCGGAACAAGGTCAAAACTAACCTACTTTTTACTCGAGAACTTGGTTTCACGAGGTAGTTTTGGTGCTCATTTCGAATGTGTTAATGACAGGGACCGCAACAGACGTTGCGGTGTGTTCCACGGGCTTCTTTAAGGTCAACGTAAGTCACCGACCTACAATTTCCCAAATAAACGTATTGTTTTTAGGTGCATATCACGTAGTGTAATCGACCCTTTTCCAGTCGGTTCACGCACAGGTTAATCTTTCCTGTGAATTTATAGTTTCTGGCTATCTTAGTTTCTCAGATCTCAGGGGGGTCAAACTGACCCCTATCCACCCACCCCACACACTCGAGCGAAGGGTACCGAGCCGTGTTAATGAAGATGAATGTGTGGAAAAGTAGTATGCAAGGTGTATGCGCGGTAAACGGTTACACAAGATATAAGCGTCCAAAAATTTTACGCGAGTACGTTTGTCATGTATCTAATACCCCATATGCCATAACTATATTACCATAATGATCTCTTCGATGACTCCCCGCATTGATAAGCGTGCATATTTTACGAGTGCATAAATTTGACGTTTTAGTCGTTTTATCAATATCCAGGGCAGAGGAAGATACAGGGTCGCAATCTATCTTCGCGATCTTAAAAATAAAGCGTGGCGTCATGAGACTGGTCCATCATTACCCTAGCGTGCTCGTTCAAAAATGATGCTTAATCCTCCCGCAAATTTTACTTTAGAAAATGCACCAGCCGCAGCAGCACTCCTGGCTCAGCTCTGACTGCTGTAGCTTTCAAGTTGGCGGATTCTCACAGACAGTTTATTGAAATTCAGTTCTTGTCATAGGCAATATACGCATAACAAAACCCCACTAAACATATCACCAACTACGCATAAAACGTCGCATCCACATCCGACTAACCCACCTGAGTTTGCTGCATTAAGTCATTCACACTTTATAATTTGATGTCTCGCGAGGGAAATTGTACGTACAATGAAATGAAATCGGCCTGCAAGATCTACTGCACGATCTGCATGTCATGTCCTCCACCAGCATACTATCATTGCCAAGGTAATTAAGTGTTCTGCAATTTCACGAAGACTAGAACGTAGTTCCCTTTTCAGTTAGGGGAGAGGGTGCTTCAGCCCCCAACTATGTGAGAAAATAAAAAGAGCGAGAGATGCGAGAGGGAGAGAGAGAGAGAGAGAGAGAGAGAGAGAGAGAGAGAGAGAGAGAGAGAGAGAGAGAGAGAGAGAGAGAGAGAGAGAGAGAGAGAGAGAGTCGCAAGAGAGAGAAAGAGAGACGAGAGAGAGAGGGAGAGAGAGACAGAGAGGATTCCATTTTGGGTGCATGTTTGCCATTTGTCATGCTCAACCTCCAAATTATTTTCCGAAACTACACCTCTAATGTAAGCGCCACGCTGTTGGCGAGCTTGGCGCGGGCAGCACGGCTCACATACCGTACCCGCCCGTGACCTCGACGCTAGCACCGGTCATGTACGAGGCCCGCTCAGAGGCGAGAAAGGCGGCCAGCTCGGCCACCTCCTCGGGCCGCCCGGGCCGGCCCAGCACGATCAGCGGCAGCAGCTTCTCCATCACCTTGTCCGGTACATAGCTCACCATCGGCGTGTCGATGAAGCCGGGCAGGATGGCGTTGCAGCGAATGCCCTTGCGACCCAGCTCCTTGGCTGCGGTCCGCGTGAACCCTTCCACGCCGGCCTTACTGGCTGTGTAGTTGCACTGGCCGATGTTGCCGCCCTTGCCGACGATGCTCGCGATGTTGACAATTGACCCGCCTACTTTAGCGTCAATCATGGCGTTTGCGGTCAGCCTCGTGATCAGGAACGTGCCTTTCAAGTTGACGTCAATGACCTGCATGAACGTCTCAACACTCATGTCCCGCAGAAAGCAGTCCTTGGTGATGCCAGCGCAGTTGACGACACACGAGGCGGGTGAGCCGAACTTCTCGCGCACCCCGCTGACCACCGCTGCCACGGACTCCTCCGACGTCACGTCCATGGGCACGCCCACGTGCTCGGCACCGCCCAGCATCGCAGCCGTCTCCTTAGCCGAAGCTTCGTTGATGTCTGCGGCCACTATGCGGGCGCCCTCTCGCGCCATGACTTGACATACGGCTCGGCCGATGCCAGAGCCACCGCCGGTGACCAGAGCAAGCTTCCCAGTCAACATGGCTGAAAAATATCAAACATATTGTTTAGCCCGTGACGCACTGTTTGTTCGTGCCCTCACATCTGCATGCATGATCTTATTGGCGTCTGATCTTTGATATCGTCCGTAAAGCATACCCTGCACATTTTATGCCTGAGTTATTTAGTCTTCACATCTTATTTTATTTAGACTATTAGTCATTAGGTCTTCACAGTTGTATTTTGGCTAGGGTGCCCGGTATGATAAAAGGCCCCAACGGCAGTCAAATGACTCATACTAGGGACTACGAAACAGTCCCAACCGGACCCTCGACAAGCACCCAGAGTGGTCAAGTGACCTCAAGGCGTGATGATGATTCTTTTTCGGGCGCATCAGCTACAAATGCCATTTCACGCCCAGATTGTGTTCAACCTATGCAATCAGCTGTATGTTAACCAAATAAAGGAGCACAGATACTGGTGGAAATTGGGGATTGAGCAACGTAGTATGTTACCCAAGACGTGAAAGAGCCCAAGATGGTCAAGGGGCCCAAACTGATAAGGCCACTCGGGAATATGCAGTGGTCTGGCCCCCCGGATAAAGATTAGTACGGGCCACAAGATGATTAAATGCAGGATACTTGAATATGGCAGAATCGGAGACAAACGACGGACAAGACATCGCCGGATGGATCTGAGTGCTGCTACGGAGCTCAGGACAGTTCAAGGACAAAAGACGGCAAGGATGTCCTTTCTTTAGAAGCTGAAAGGCTAGGGAGGTCTGGGGAACTCGAGAGAGCAAATGGTCATCGCGTCCGTCAAGCACCTTTAACATTAAAAATCATTCGGGTGACCCAGAAACAGCATTGTAACGTTTGTGCGCGGTATGGTCCTGATCAGCCAAGAATCATTCAGAATGTGTCAGTCAACCAGGAAAAATAACTACGCGAAACTAAACGGATTGTCGAAAGAATCAAATCTGATGGAAGTCAAGGTCTCGAAACAGAACACCCTAAACTGGAAAAAGTTTAAAGGAACTGCCGGCTGATTCTTGGAACAAGAACTTCGCGCAACCAAGATCTCCCCAAGGTCATCAGTTTCATATACGCGTGCGTATTGCATATTGCGTAGGACTACCAGAAGTAAATCATAAATGCCCGGTTTGAATTCCCGCGTGTCTACCCTTCTTGCCGAGAGGCACGCGACACCCCTTAGCCTTGGCGGGTGAATGCATCATAAAGCCTCAATGACAACGAATACCAGAATAAAATCACACGATTTTGGACCCCAAGTAAAGGAATCCAGATCTCCCTAATGTCCTATAGGTAATGTCCAAATGTCACTCAATAATGCGCAGTTTCACTCATTACATTCAAACGTACTTCGTAGACTGGTCACTTATCACTTTGCTGTGCTGATTAAGAACCTGCCTACCGGAAATTAAAATGGCTCACATGGCACACATCCATTCAATCAGGGGTACCAATTTTAGGAAATTATTAGGGGCCGAACCAGAGGCCCGACAACCTACTCCACACTTTTCTGATCGGATTTAGCCCATTTCATTTTGATTAACCTAATATATGTTTCTAATCTTTGTACAATTTAGAAGTCTTTATTTTAAGCAGTAAAGAATTCATGCAGGGTTGGATCCAGGGAGCAGGCACTGGACGCACTCATCTCTTCCGATTGGCGGGTGAAGGCGCCTCGATTTTGGAAGACGTTCTATGGGTGTGATGGGACGCGGCACGCATTTTGGTCGTGGGGGACGGGGACGCGGTTAGCCATGAAGGACTTTGGCCATTCCCATATTCCAGAGCTTTTCAGTTTAACCTCACAGACCATTGCGTGTCTTATGGCGATGGTCTGAGAAGTTTATTGCATCGTTTATCCGCTCAGGTGTCACGACTTGTGTCTTGTGGTGAGGGCAATCATGACTTTTCGTGATGAGAGTGGCACGGGTTGCCACAACGCAGAAAGATCAAAGAAGATAGTCTTTTGGGTTATGATCATTTTATCCACGTTGTTGTGGTGCTCTAACCAAAAACATGGGGGGGGGCAAAGCCAACATTGGGGGGCCCAACTCAACATTGGGGGCCAGGTCCCTCACAAAAGAATACAGGTGCACCTGACCCCTGTGCATACAATAGAAATTTGCGCACACCTAAGGGAGCGCGACAGCAATTTTAAGGAAGTGACCGACCTTTTCTGTACACCTCACCTGTTGTCAAATCAGACGCGTAGGATTTGATCAGAAAACCCAGTTTTCTCGTAATATTTCTGAATGGCTCGGAATCTTGATATAAAGTGGCCGACCCTCGGGACAAAAATTTGACTGGTTCTGCAATGTTTTCAACGCACAGATGTGTCAAAATGTTTGTGTAATAAATGCTTAGAAAGCTTGGAACACTCCGTTCAAAAAAGAAACTCGAACATGAAGATATCATCACGCGAATTCAACGAAGCGCTTTACCAAGGCTTTGGACTTCTCCCGTACGGCGTTTACCGTAGCCGCTCTTTTTTGGGCGCACTTCGGCTATGGGAATGGCAGCACCACATGACCCACGTGATGTTGTTATAGGGCCTTGCATGTGACACACTGATTAAAACTGCAAACAACCTGCTTCTTGGTAGCGGGCCGTTGCCCACCTGGCCAATTTCAAAGATCCTATTATGCGCACCAATTACTGGTGCGCATAACTGGACATTTATACCATCGCGCACACCTCTACTGAAGAAGTGCGCTCGGTGGTTGTCATGGCAACGGTGGTCGCGACTGCAGGGAATAAGTGGAGTGCTGTTATAATGTGTTGAAAACATACTTCAAAGCCGAAAATATGCAAAATTGGTATTCTTGCCATGATTTGACGGTGTTGCAGTGGCACTAATGCAGTGACACGAAGTGGCAGTGGCACTAGTGACACCCAGTGCCATGATTTGATGTAATTGGTCTTGAGGTCCCACTAGGGTATGTTTGGGAAATATGACCCTAAGATGGGACATTGCCATAAATAATATACATGCATTTGGTGATTCTGAGAATAGCATATGTATTTCTTACACGACCATTATGACAGACTCATCCTGACCATTGGGTTCATACGCATTTCTATGCAACCAAATAAACAATTTGCTTTTGCCCTGAATCCCACATAACTACTGGCCATTGTGAATTGTTTGCTATTGGTTGCTGAACACCATTGCATATTGCTGAGCATTGTTCATTATAATTATGTTACTGATTGTGGCTGTTGATGCTGCAACAAATTTTGATTAAATATGGTATGCAGCCAAATTCAGACAAATTTTTGCACACTGCCTGTTATTCACTTAAAGATCTTAGTACTGTAGAAATATTTGTACTTAGTACTGTTCAGAGTGGGGTTAATTTGACCCCCTCAAATGTCTTCCTAAATAAATTATAAATGGTGGGCCACAGCCACACCAAATTTTGTGTGAAGTATCCAGTGTTCAACTAGGACACTACTCGTGCTCAAGTGAGAACATGCTCAGTGATGGTAAAATCTCTGAAATTATGAGAAGTTTGGGCACCGTCAAGTTCCCTTACACTGTTATTTTGATGTAATGAGGAGCATGTGAAGGGACCAAAATGCTACTTTGGAGATAGCAGGGGTCTTTGGAAGGTGCTCTGAACTGAATGGGAGGTGCCAACTGATTCACAGTGTGGTTGACATGCTCCACCTGCACAGGACATCAGCAGTCCCCATTACCTGAAGGGACTTACAGTACTTTTAAAATTTAGTTCCAACAATTTCGGTGCATGGATTTTGAGGATCAAACCCCATGCTATGCATCACTTATTGTATGAGCCCTGAGCCCATAGGAGGGTGAAATTTCTTAGGTAAAACTTTGATGCACCACATTGGATGATGTGATGCACCCCATCCTCTGCTCTTGAGTGGTCACTGCCTCCACTGCAAACCATTTCAGCAAGGAAAAAATGGCAAGGTCTGACCAAATCTATTGATGATCCTACCCAGGCTTGAAGGCATTCACTTGTAATAGACTGATCCCTTGGGTAGAACTAAATATTAAAATCATCATTGCACCCTGGGCATTGTATCTCTTTTGTGCTTTTTCAACATGATCTTATGGATCTGATATATTGTGTGGTGTTTTGTTAGGACTTCCTGTATTCTGTGATTCACACTTAATCTTGGAAGATCCTCTCAGGACTCAAAGCACTTAAAGTGACATTTATGTGTCAATGTAATGGCGTCCTGTATTCAGTGTTCTTCATTCATCTGAATATTCTCTCCAAAGTCATTAAAAAATATTGGCTTGTTGTGGTTGAAAAATGTGTGTGGGTCAACATCAAGGTTACAATTTACTGCATTCAGATGAAAAATGAGTTGGTGTCAATATGCATTCACAGAGGTCAAGCAGATATGGTAAATGTTTTTGTGGCAGTCAGGGAATCAGAAGCTGGACCTCTGGATGATGGGCTTACAGCCACTAGGACAAATCTTAACATAATCATTCATAAGTTACAAAAAAGTCCTTGCAGCATTGCATATCATGGTATGATGTGGGCAAGTGACAATATTGTTATCGAGTTAATGAATGTCAAAAACACTTATTGGAACTATTTTGTTTCTTGTAAAATAAACATAATTTTAAGTCATGAGGTGAGTAGAAGACCAAATGTCAAAAATATCAACCACATTTACAGTTTACCATGCCAGTGTACTTCATGGGATTTTTTGACACCATCTACAGAAAAGAAAAATAATTATGAAATCAAGTCATTCAATTTCATTATGACATTAAGCAGCATGAACAATCTGTGTTCACTGGTGTCACAGTGTAATTCTGATTTTCGCAGGGTATGAAAAAAGGGGCAGAACACCAACTACCCTGTCCAGACCAGGTGGAGCCGAGGCCGCGTAAGAGGGGTCGAATCGTCCGCTGATTTCCGTGCCCCATCCGCTCAACGTTAGTGTAACGTCACTGGAGCCCCTTCCTCAGCAGGCGATGCGCGCGGTCCCGTGCGTTGCGTTATTCTCTGAACGGAATAACTGCTGGCCTATTTCAGCCACCACGGCTGTTACATATGCACTGTGGAGTGAAAAGCTATCCGTTTTTGTACTGATGCCGGCGTAGTCAACAAATGTTATCTTGTTCAAGTCAGGTCATGTCAGGCTCACCGTTGTCATGTCTTTGTCGTTGCCACTTTCTTTGTCAGTCGAACGGCAGGTGCTAACAGCCGTCGAGTCAGGCCGGCCTGGAGGTCAAACTGTCCCGGATCCCAGACCTGTGCGTCCCGGCTGAGTTTGGCGGACAGCTTGTTAGGCACCAGATGTGAACCGCGGTGGTTGGAGCGATACCGCCAAAGCAGGCCTCAGTTGTAAGTCGGGAGACGACTTCCGCTTTGACCTCAGCAGCCTCCATACAGAGCCCGGACCACGCGCTTCAAGGTGACGGGCCGAGGTCTTGGCAAGCTCCATGCAGTTTGGGCAAGGTGTCCCACTGTAACCTTAGCAGGCCCCACCAAGACCCCAAGCCACGCGTCCATAGGCGGCCGTTGTGACCTCAGCAGACCCATTTCACAGTTCACCCCATGCGTTCTACGGTGGTAGAGGACTATAGGTCAAACAACAGTTCGGTCCACCTTTCTCAAAAAGGTCGTTGCCACCTGAGCTAGTCTCACATAAGTGGGCTAGTCCCTGCGTCATAAAACCGCCGGGAGCCCGCCCTTCTGCTATTCGTCTGAAGCAGTGTGAACAAAAGTTGTTGCGTCTCCTTCCTCTTCAGTCCCAATACGGTGTGGTTCTCAAGCAGCTCCATGCCGACGCCGGAGGAACCCAGTGCACCCGGCTAGACAGTGGCCACTGGTCAAGCCTTAAGGCAGGCATACTACAGGGGGCGACACAAGCGCCGGGCCCAGCACAGCTACAGACGAAGCCAAAACAATTCAGGCTTCACCACGAGCTACCCACGCCCGCTCACTTCTGTAACAAAGGGGCTGTGCTTGGACTTCCTGGGGTTTCAAACGCATCGCACCGCAAACATCGCCAACATCAGGTAAGCGCAGGTGTAGTTGTAGCAGTTACCGAACATCAGAGCGACCACACCACCAGCACCGTGCGTGGCGTGGCGCTAGTACCGCCACGCCGTTATGTAAATCCCGCTGGCGACATCGCGCGATTTACGGTTACGCGATGCTGGTCCGTTAGCACCGTCGGCACCCAGCGTAATAGAAGCGTGCCTCACCAGCGGCGGACGACGGCGACCGTGAAGAACCCTCGCGTGTCAGCAGGCGCGCATCTAAAGCCTTGACGTGGAGTGGGCACAGGGTTGACAAAGGTCGCCCTAGTAGTGAAAGGGTCATAAAGAAAATCGCCGGATATGGCCCATTTTTCCATAAGGGCATGCGTTGCTTTGGTGTTTTGTCTTTTATTTCCCCCTTTGTATAACCGCATGGGAAGCCTGAAACTACCACAAGGTAAATTCCACCTGAATTTCGCGGTTCGTAAATTGAAGGATTCATGCGTTAAACGATTGCATGAAATGAACCGCCGGTGCTCCCCATTTTCAAATGGTTCAGTGGACTTCCTAAACCGATAGAACGCAGAAGCTTCGGCAAAATTTGTATCTCCTCCCTACAAAGGTATGGAGCCCCGCGAATGTGGATTGTATGTAGATGAAAATAGGTCAGCAGTGTAAATGAACATGGCGAAGCCAGTTTTTCTGGAAATGACCAACATTCGATCGGAATCGATTATTGATACAAATTTTGTAGCGTAGTTTTGAGCGCGCGGGTTCACAAATTTTAGTAATAAAAGCTTCGATGTCAATCGTTGCAGTCTCCACAAGTCGCGCAGCGCCGGCCCCGCGGCAAAGATTAAGATTTGGCCAACGGGTGGACGAAAATTATGACGTATCTTAAAGAAGTTTCTTTGACAGCGCAAGACATCAAAGCATGCATTTAGAAGGTATTCCGGGCTTATATTTCACTGGTGCGATTTTTAGATTGATGATAAACGCGGAGTAGTCTTAACAGCACTGCGAAATGCTTCAGGAATATGGGAGCGAGCCTGAAAGAGTAAAGGCAGAACCTCTTTTTCGTGTCGCTGCAACTGTATCTGTTCAGAAGAAAACTTCAAAGTTGTAAAAATGATGCGTTCAGTCTAATTTTTGAAAGGTGCTCTTTAATTCTGAAAGACACCCACCACCTCGTGTCACTTGCAGTGGCCAGCGCCGTTCGGTTTTCCGGAAGGAGCAACCCAGACCATCTCTGTCCTTGCTCCCGAGATTTCTGGCGCGCAGGCTAAAATTTGGTGTAAGATGTGCAACTAATCGATTCTGGAAAGGAATGAGCGCTCTCAGGCAAACATGGGGTGGCCCCGTTGGTTTTTTATTACGATCCACTCCTTTTCGCGAATGAGACCCCCTATTTTCGTGCAACCTATTTTCCCTGGGGTAAGAACGCCATGGGACGCCTATTGCTTATGGTCAAGGTCTGGGGGGCCATTCCGTTCCACCGTGGGGTATCCTCCGGCTGTCATTCTGGCGACGCGGGGCGGGATCCCCTGGTCGATCCGGAGGCCTGTAGGGGGATACATCATGCCACACTGGTTCCCTCCCTGACGCGGGAGGCCTTTGGACCCGCGCAGTTGACTTCGGATCGACGCATGAGCCCTTACTGGTGCAACAACATTCCTCGCCAGAGTAGCTGGTCTAATAATTGGCACAATGACTCCAGTTTGGCTTAACGGGCCCATGCTGGAACGTTGCTGGGGCCCCATCGTCCGGTAGTGCGGGCACTGGCTGGCATAGGAGCCTTTCATTGTCTCAATGCGAACACTGATGATAAGTTCTCATGTTTCCTTTCATTGTCAGGGGGCCCCGGCCGACGCGAGAGATCCTCTGTCATTTGGGGTCCCGTTCCCGTCTCTGTTGAGCAAATGCTCCCCTGACCGACTGGTCAGGGAGTCATTGGTAGACCCCTTGTTGACACAGAATACCCTGTTGGGCACTGGCCCCTGGCCGATACAGGAGCCGCGCATTGTTGCATTGCAGTGCCTGATTAAGATCCTGTATTGGGGATGGGCCCTAAATCGGTCCGGAGTAGTGTTCGAGGGGTCTCGCAAAGGGTTCCGAGGTGCCCCTCAGCACGGGCGATCATATATCAGATTGAAAGGCACGAACAGCTGGTGGTAGTCACATTAAGGACCCCAATTCTCAGGACAGGGCCCTAAAATATCAGACAGGGGGCGTCTTGCACCGGTGTGGAATGTCCTGGGGCAATGCGGGCCTCTACGTCGGTCAGACAGCATCAGCACCGAATTATCTGCTCCGTGTCTGTCTGAGCATTGGTTGGGGACAGGGCTCAAATGCTAGAGGGCCGCTTGTGTTGGTTGAGGCCCTCTGACGGCGAAAATGGATATGAGAGTTTACGGCGAAAGGTCAAAAGAAGGCGATGATAGGCCCATTCACAGCCAGGGGTTCCAGTTCAGAACGGAGAGCTCTCGGCTCCATTTCACCCAGTGGCTCGTTTGGCTGAATTGGGGTCTCTGTGCGAACTACTGGACACCACCGGCGGATAAGAGATCTTTGTGCGTCAGGGAGAGTGCCTGCGTCTATCCGGGGTCAATATGCTTGGCTCAGATGGCTCCAGCGTCAGGTAGGCGAACAATGTTTCACTGATCCCTCCAAGGGCTTCTGCGTCGACCTGGAGACCCCGCCCCCGAGGCGCCAGCACGGCAGCCGTCAGGCAGGCGAACATGTGTTTCACTGATCCCTCCAAGGGCTTCCGTATCGATCCGGAGACCCTGCCCCCTAGTCGCCAGCATGGCAGCCGTCAGGCACCCCGCGCTGTAGTGGAAGGAACCTTTACGCAAGCATTTGACCGGGGAATACAGTGTGCCCTTAGTGTTCTGGCCACTGGCCTTTACCCGGAAAAGAAAGTGGTTTCTTAGGTTTTGAACGGGGCAGAGCAAAACGAAGCCGCCACTAATGAGGAGGTTCAATCGTATCGGAGTCAACATGTGAAAGAAATTCCGTAAACAAATTTTTGGCCTGCTCGCAATCCTAGAAGCAAGAGCATCGATCGATGGGGTTGCAGTTCCATCAAACCGAGTGGCGGCAGGCGCTGCAGCTAACACCGGGCGGCGGGCGCTTGGTGCGCGAGACCAACCGTCTGGAAATAATGCTGCCGAAAGTTTTTTCTAAATATATCCGCACGGTTCAAATATTAGGTTTGGGCATATATCTCACCTGCATAATTTCGGAACGCTCTCTGAGTGAACCAATAGCGACAGCAACCCGAGTACAGAGATTCTACCCCAACCGGTGTAGATATATGGTTAGATTCCAGCACATGCCTGATATGCTATGAATGCTAACGCGCCCCTATTATAAGTCTAAAAATTGTTTAGCTGAAGCATACCTCCAAATTGTTCTTTAAACGTATGAGTTTGTATCCTCAAGTGTTCAAAGGTACTTTGTTGGAAACGATGTGGTTTTGTCCGCCCGCTGGCCTCCACCTGATGGTGCCCGCGGCGAAGGCCGTACGGCTTACGAAGACGGCAATGCCATGCATCAGGGTTTTTGTTCTCAGGCTTGCGAGCGCACGTGGTCAAAGGCATGTGATATACTTTTTCACGTCTGGATTCTGGAAAAGGGAGGCAGATTCACAGACACACAGGGATTGGGCATGTCCAAGCAAATTTATAACCCCATTTCCATTTAAAATATGCGTTAACTATCATCTACGTTCACGATGTCTCTGCACAACACAGCGGAAATTCCGGAAAAGCCCCGAGTGTTATTTCTAAGAAAGAGTCATCTGTATACTTGCAAAATGAAAACCGTCGGTGGCTTTTTCTA